CCTTTTCTACAGAGCGAGTACCAAGAGAGCTGGGGCTACAGAGAGACCCTGTCTCAAAAAAAAAAACCCAAACATATATATATATATATATATAGTGCATTGGGCACAGGCTTTCAATCCCAGTCCCAGCACTCAGGAGGCAAACTACTTAGGACTACATCCTGTGTCTCACCACAGATCTTTGTGAGTTCAAGGCCAGTATGGTCTAGATAGTGATTTCTAGCCAGCCAGGGCTACATTATGAGATTCTATTTCAAAAAACAAAAACAAACAAACAAACAAAAAAAAACCCCACAAAGGCCGGAGAGATGACTCAGCAATTAAAAGCACTTGCTGCTCTTCCAGAAGACTCTTGTTAGGTTCCCAGCATTCCCAGAGCAGCTAACTAAATGTCAGTAACTTCAGTTCCAGGGGATCTTGTATCCTCTTCTGGCTTCTGTGGGTACATGCACATGGTGAACTTACGTACATGCAGGCAAAACACTCATACACATAAAATAAAACAAAACAAATAACAGAAACAAAAAAACAGAGACTGAAGAGATGAAGAGATGGTTCAGTGGTCAAGAGCGCTTGCTGAAGTTCCCAGGTCCATAGGCTTACAACTGCTTCTAACTCCAGCTCCAGGAGTCTGATACCCTCTCTTGGCCTCTGCAGGCACTGCACTCACATGCACAACACCCCCCCCAATACCCCCGCCCCTGCCCCAGACACACATAATTAAAATCTTTTAAAAAAGAAAAGTATAAGCAAAGATAAGCAATTCCACTTCATGTAAAGAATATATACATATATAATAGGCCCAACTTCAGAAACCTGTGACAAACCAGTTCTAGATAGAAATTGTATCATTCTACTAATATACTGATATTTTAAGTTAGCTTTTGATTTGTTTTTAGTAATGGAGGCAGAATTCAGGGCTTCCAACATGCTGGGTAAGTTCTCTACTATAGCATCAACTCCTAGCCCTGATTATTATAATTTTTTTTGTTCTTTTTGGGACAGGGTCTCTCTGTAGCCCCAGCTGGCCTGGAACTCTGTAGACCAGGCTGACCTTGAACTCACAGATATCTGCCTGCCTCTGTCTCCCAAGTGCTGGGATTAAAGATGTGCACCACCACTCCCTGAAATTATTATAATTTTAAAAGAAATTTTGGGGCTGGAGAGATGGCTCAGCAGTTAAGAGCACTGACTGCTCTTGCAGAGGATCCAGGTTTGATTCCCAGCACCCACATGGCGGCTACAAACCATCCTTAACTCCAGTTCCAGGGGAATCTGAAGCCCTCTTCTGAACTTGGCAGCATTGCATGACACAGGTGTGCTCACGTACATGTAGGCAATACACTCATACACATAAAAATAATAAATAAAATTCTTTTTTAAAAAAGAAATTTTATGTGTATGAGTGCATACCAGAGGAAGGTGTTGGATCCCTTGGAACTGGAGTTAGAAGCAGTTGTGAGCCTCCATGTGGGTGCTGAGAACCAAATCTGGGTCCCCTACAAGAGCCCCAAATGCTCTTAACCACTGAGCCACCTGTCCAATCCCTGATTATTGTTTTTTAAATGCATAGTATGTTTACAGATGCGCCTTGTATCTAGGCTGCATTGTTTGTTTTGTGATGCCAGGGATACAAACCCAGTATCTTGCACATGCTAGGCAAGAGCTCAATCACTGAGCTACATCTTTGGCCCTTTATTGTGGTTTGGTTGAGTCTCCTGCCTACTTGCTAAAACCTAGGCTGCTCCACTGTCAAGAGAAATTGAAAGCAAAGCCCTAGCATGCATAAGACCCTGGGTTTAATCTCCAACACCTAATAAACTGGGTATGGTGTTACACACCTTGTAATCCTAGCATTCTAGAGGTAAAGGCAGGAAGATCAGGAGTTCAAGGTTCTCCTAAACTACATAGCCAGTTAGAAGCCAGCCTGGGCTACATGAAATCCTGTCTTAAAAAAAACAAAATTAGGGGCTGGAAAGATAGCTCAGTGGTTAAGAGCACTACTGGCTGCTCTTCCAGAGGACCCAGGTTCAGTTCCCAGGCCCCACATGGCAGCTAACAACTGTCCATAACTCCATTTCCAGGGAATCTAACGCCCTCTTCTGGCCTCCATTGGTACTGCACAATATGGGCAAAACACCCACACACATCAAAAAAAATTTTTTTAATATTTTATTATTTTTATTTTATGTGTATGAGTGTATTGCCTGCACGTATGTGAGTGCTCCTGTGTCGTGCAATGCCTTCAAGGTCAGAAGAGGGCTTCGAATTCCCCTGGAACTGGAGTTAAGGACGGGTCATAGCCGCCATGTGGGTGCTGGGAATCAAACCCGGGTCCTCTGCAAGAGTAGCTAGTGCTCTTAACCACTAGCCATCTCTCCAGCCCCTTTCTTTTTTTTTAATATAGCTCTCTGTTGGCATGGTGGCACATGCCTTTAGTCCTAGCACTCAGGAGACAGAGGCAGGCATATCTCTGTGTGTTCAAGGCCAGCCTGGTCTACATAGCTAGTTCCAGGCTAGATGGGGGTACGGGGAAACCCTGTCTCAAAATAAAAAAAAATATGGATGAGAATGACTTGTCAGTTGAAACCAGAAATGGTCTCATGGAGAAGATAGCAAAGTGATGGGGACTGAGCCCATTGAACCAGGCCAGTATGTGAAGGTGCTAGAATGCATCCTAGGATCCTGGGACTTGACCTCATGTGCTGGGGAGTCGAGGCTGGTAAGACAAGATATACACAAAGACTTACTATTCTTTCTCCCAAGCCTGATCCTTCTTCAACTGTGGCGCTCTGTAGCAATCTGCCTGCTCTGAACTCCCTCAGTTCCCTGTTGACACCCTCTTGGGCATGTCCCATCCTCCACCTTACAATAGAAAGATTTGTGTAATCTCTTCCCCACTACTTAGCTCCTCCACAAGGACAGGGATGACAGTCCAGGCAGCTGCACAGCCACCACAGGCCTGGCACCCGTGGCAAATGAGTCTGCTTAACCTAAGGCAAACTGAATGGGATGGAGGAAGGTAAATCACTGATGCTGTCAAGTAAGTTCCTGTGCTCAATATATTGTTATTATTAATGTATTAGTTCTGCTTTGAAAATGGATCATTTAGGGACTAGAGAGATGGCTTGGTGGTTAAGAGCACTGACTGTTCTTGCAGAGGACCTGGGTTCAGTTCCTAGCACCCACATGGCAGCTAATAACTGTCCACAACTCTGGTTCCAGGGGATCCAGTGCTCTCTTCTAGCCTCCATGGGCATTGCATGACACAGGTGCATTTACATACATACAGGCAAAACACTCATACACATAAAATAATAAATAAAATATTTAAAAATAAACAAAATGGATCATTTAAAGCTTAGGATGTAGCTCAATGGTAGAGGGCGTGCTTAGCATGCCTGGGTTCCATCCTCAGCATTACAAATGTGGAAATGCAAAGAAGGAAAGAGGGAAGGAAAGAAAGGAGGGAAGAAGGAAAAGAGGGAGGGAGGGAGGGAAGGAGGGAAGGAGGGAGGGAAGGAAGGAAGGAAGGAAGGAAGGAAGGCTATTGAAGTGAACGTGCACATCCCAGCCCTGGCCTGGATGGAGCCAAGGCATCCCAATCCATGCTGTTTGTTCTCCAGCCTCTATACCTGAACTCCACTAAGGGGACTGGCTGCTACTGATTTTGTCCTTCAGGCCCTTTCACCTTGACATGGTATGTAGGCGCTGGGGAATGACCTTAGCAGACTTGCACAAGCACTTTTCCCTGGCCCCCAAATACATAAGTCCTGATAGGGCCATAGCACTCCCTGTCAGAGGAGGAGTTAGAGACTTGTTCCCCAGTAAGGTTTTGGAGAAGCTAAGAAATACCCCTGTCCAATCCCTACATTGGCCTGAAAGAAGAATTTTCCTGAATGTAACATTACACTAGATGCTTGAGATGGATGGACAGATGGATGATAGATACACAGAGATAAACTAGACAGACAGATAAGTAGATAGACAGACAGATAGGATACATTTTGCTTAAACCAGAGAATGGGGAAGTGAAGAGGTCAAAAGGGAGATTTCTGGGAAAAGTGAGAACAAGACTCCTTCACTAGCCACTATAATCACTGAGGAAACTGTTTACAAGTTAGCACAGTTAGCACAGGGTGGGGCATAGAGAACATTCAAGGGAGATGTGTGGTGACAAAAGAAGGTAGGGGTCACACCCAAAAGGGTTCCTACTGTTCCCCATCCCAGATGGAGAACTTTGATGAGCAGAGGGTTAACATAGGAACAAAGTCTCATGTGGGCTACCCCTCCTCTAGGGTCTAAATTTATCTCGTCCTGGTAAAGATGCCTAAGCTATGAGGAGGGCATTCTTGGCCCTTCCCAGACGGTGGCCACTTTGTCTCCCGACTCCACATTCTGGAGTCTATACAGAGGGTGACCTCACTGCCTCCAGCTCCCAGAGCTGCCCCATCACACGCCAGGATTTGGTTTAGTGGAGGAGGCTGTGGGTTTCCAGCCACAGCTCACTTTGGTGCTTTAGGCTTCCGCTGCCACCCAGAGACCTGGCCTTTGATTCCCACATCCTCAGTCTCCCCAGAAGTGCTCTACCTCACTACAGTAGCATCCTGTGTACCTTCACCCCTGGGAGAGGCTGCGAGGGCTGACTGGCTGCTGTGTCCCCACCCCTCCCCCCTTCCTCTGCTCACATCTGCATTTCTGAATCTTTGTTTTCCATGCTTATGCCTCTAGTCTTCAATTCCCTGTATCTATCCTCTGGGCTGCTCTCTTTTCCTCTGGAGTGTCCTCTGCCTCTTCTTCTCATCCTTCCCCTCTCCGGCAGTCACTAAAGTCTAGTACACAAACAGCCCTGAAAGCAAGCAGCCCAGCCTCTGGCAGGCCAGTAGGCTCTCTGCTAACCTTGATCTGACAGGAAGCTGCAGCATGGGCTGGACCTGAGGGGTGGATGTACCAGGAAATGGCCACAGAGTAGGAGGGACACAGTGTACAAAGAAAAGTGGACAGATTTGAGAAACCCACAAAGGCCTCAAGGGAGGACAGGAGGGAAGGAAGGAGGGAAGGAGAGAGGGAGGGACTCAGAAAGGTCATTAAAGCAACAGCCACCCTTCACAGGATCTGCTATCACACAAAGAACAGAAAAGGCAGAGAAGAGGCAGGCAGGGTACGTGCAGAGAGCACTAGACCAAAAGAGACAAAGAAGGGACCAAGCAGGGGATGCTGTCAAAATGGCAACAGGTACCACACATCCCCCAGGTGCTTGAGGTTCCTGCTGCTCTCATCAGGGTCCCCAGAGATGGGAGGGGAGGGCAAAGCCCCAGCATATCCCCACCACAGTGACAGTCTGTGGTCCCACAAGCACTTTTATCTTCCCCTCATGGCCCCCAAGTCAGCCCACTCAAGCCCAGTGTGGGATGTGCCCCCTGCCACATACCCTTCAACTGCTGACTGGCGTCATGTAAACTTCCTAGAAATGTGACCCTCTAAGCCACCCTTGTGGTTTGGTGGCTGCAACCTCTGTCTCCTTTGTCTCAAATGCCCACATGGGGGACTCTGTGCCCCCCTCCTTCCCTTGTCTCCGATAGAAAGGCATAAACAGAAATACAAACAGAGCTCACCCTTCACCTCCTACAAACCTCAACACCCACCTATCAGCATCCTCCCAGCACTCATCTGATTTCCCATTGTCGTCGAAGGTATTTCATTCGACAGTTACTACGCATCTAAAATGTTCTGGACCCCAGGCACCCAACTCCAATCTCTGTCACTTCACCACTGTGGCCAAGAATGAAGCCTAAGCCTTGAACCAGGTAGAAGGGGAGTTCCTATTTAGAGTCAGACCTCTTCTGTGAGTGCCCCAAGCTGAAGAGTAAAGTGGCTCCCAAGTATCTGGAACTCGCTCCTCAGGCGGCCATTTTGTATCAGCCAACAGACTCTAAGACAGCCCGAGGAGTTGTCAGAACAAGAAACAGCAGTGATCTTCATCAGGCCCTTCTCCCAGTTTTGCATTCAAAAAAGAAAAAAAAAGGCAAAAAAACTAACAATGTGCTCTATAAGAGCAGGACATTCAGGACGAGCTATTCCAATGGCAGTAGAATCTTTGAATTATCAAGAATGGAACCTTTCTATTTTGAGAGCTCATACTGTACCCCAGGAGACTCTCTCCCAGAATAAGTCTATGAACTGCAGGCAGAGGACACTCAGGGGCACAGCATGGCTCCAAGACCACGTGGTGTTAGGAGAGGGGCAAGGCCTGAGGGTTTGGTGGCAGGAGGCTAGAGTTCTATAATTCACCTCATCTTTAGGACTACTGAGTCCTGCCTCATGCCCACTCCCCACCCATCCCACTGGGATCTTTTTTCTAACTCTGCTGGCCTCTTGAGACAGCAAAGACCAATTCTCTTAGAATCAATTTTTATTTTTTGTCTTTTTGATATTTTGTCTTTTTTATTTTTATTTTTTTTTTCCAGAGCTGAGGACCGAACCCAGGACTTTGCACTTGCTAGGCAAGCGTTCTACCACTGAACTAAATCCGCAACCCCTTTTTTGTCTTTTTGAGACGGGGGTCTCCCTGTAGCTCCAGCTGGCCTAAAATTCACTGTGTAGACCAGACTGTCCTCAAACTCACAAAGATCCACCTGCCTCTGCCCCCCAAATGCTGGGATTAAAGTCACATGCCATCATGCCTGACTAGAATCAGTTTTTTTAACATGTTTACCCCCAAAATTTTATCTATTCCTTTATAACATTTCATAAACAAGGGCACAATTTTCACACTTTCTGAGAATCTTAATTTTCCCTTACTCAAGCTAATTAAAGGTGTCTTTAGACATTTGTCCAAAAATCCTAAATATCAATCCCAGCACTCAGGCAAGCACCTTGTTACCAACGACTAGGGAGATGGGGTGGAAGATCACTTGAGCCCAGGAGATTGAGACCAGCCCAGGAACATAGCAGGACCCTGTCTCAAAAAAACAACTCCTAGAAATTCACAAAAGAAGGCAAAAGTTTCAAAATACACGTTAACACAAAAGAATCTTTAAAAGACCACATGGACTAATGAAACATTTCTAGGTGTGATCCTTGGTGCAAATTTGTAGTGAAAGGAAAAGTCCTTGCTTTTCCTGCTTTTTCTGTTTTTATTTTCCTCTTCATGCCTTGTGTTTCCTCCTCAACACCTGCTCGTTCTTTTTCTCTCCTCTCCTTAACTCAGTTTCTGCTTTCTCTCTCTTCCCATCTTTACTTCCTCCCCAGCCGCCCCAGGCCCCACTGCCATCTGCGTCTTTCTCAGCCATGGCCTCTCTGATCTTGCGTTCTACTCAGTGAGCTTGAGTACCCGCTGCTCCAGGTACTGTTCTATGCCTGGGTAGGGGGCGGGGGCACAAATGAGTATGACTTAGTGCCTTTTGAAGCTCACAATTCCAGTGGGAGATCACTGTTCATGACCAGTTCTGAGAGAAATGCAAGAGAACTGGGCCAGAGCTCCAGGCAGAAAACTGCATCCAGAATATTCCCGCACATCGGCCGCCATGTCTGCTGCCCCTTCCAACCCCTCAGAAAGAATGAAATCCACGTGCCCCTCTTACCTATGGCCAGTCCTTCCTTCTGCTTCTTGCACAGGTGTTATCTTTGAGGGTCCGCAGCTTTGTGAACAGGTGCCTAGTTGGGGAGAGAGTTTTTCTACTTTTGCAAAGCCCTTCGTAAATGAAGAGACAGGAAGCCTTGGTAGTGAGGCTCCTCCACACCCAGGACCTGAGCCAACCCCCTGGGGTCCCTCCCCTCCATCTTCAGCTAATAGCTGAAGAAGTTGTCGAAGTTGAAATGCTGCACTGGAAATAGTTAAGCAGAATCAGGCTAAAGCTTAGAATGTCACTGCTGCCTGTTGGGTGGCGAGACAGAGAAAGATTGTAAAGCTGACACAGTCAGATCCGGCCGACGTGAAGCAGGACTTGGTGGCACTACGTGTAATCCCAGCACTTGGGAAAGTGAGGCAGAAGAATCACAAGTTCAAGGCCAGTCTGGGCTATATACCTAAAAAAAAAAAGAGTAAATAAAAAAGACTATATCAATGGAAAATTTAGGTTACATTGCCCAACTGGCCCAATAAGTCAGCTGGTTATAGATGGCAAACAACCTAGAGGTAAACAGCCAGGGCCAACATGGCTCCCATTGCTGCTAAAGCTGTCCTGCTCTGGTTTTACCTCATGCCATTCCCTGAGGCTGAGTAGGTAGCCAGACAGCTTCCCTATTGCCAAGATTAAAAAGCATGGTTAGAATCTGGCATAAGCCGGGTCTGGTGATGCACACCTTTAATTGCAGCACTTAGGAGGCAGAGGCAGGCGGGAGAATCTCTGTGAGATCAAGGCCAGCCTGGTCTACATAGCAAGTTACAGGAGAGATTGGGCCACAGGGAGACCCTGTCTCAAAACAACAAGAAGAATCTTGTGTGTATGTCTTCTGTGCAGAAAAGGCCTAGGTAAGCCCTTTAGAGTACATGGCCCCTGTCCTAGTTACCTTCCATTGCTGAGAAAAAAACACTGACCAAACCAGGCATGGTGGCACACCCCTTTACTCCCAGCACTTGGGAGGTGGAGGCAGGTGGATCTCTATGAGTTCTAGGCCAACCTGGTCTATATAGCGAGTTCCAAGCAAGCTGGAGCTACAGGGAGACTCTGTCTCAGAAAAGACCCCCAAAAAACTAACACTGACCAGAAACAACTTGGGGAGCCATCTCTGTAGCCTCATAAAAAAATCTTAAGAAAATAAAAGGGAGTTGTTTTTTTGTTTTTTTGTTTTTTTTTGTCTTTTTGAGACAGGGTCTCCCTGCAGTCCCAGCTGACCTGAACTTACTATGTAGACCAGGCTGGCCTTGAACTCACAACGATCCACCTGCCTCTGCCTCCCAAGTGCTGGGATTAAAGGCGTGCGCCACCACCCCCAGCTAAAAGGGAGATTTTTTTAAAAGTAGCTAGTTCAGCTTGTAACACCAGCGATATAATATAATATAATAATATAATATAATTAATATAATACAAGTGTTCCTACTTGAGAAACCACCTGAGTTGTCTTCAGGAAAAAGCCCTGTATGCTGCTTCTCCTTCATAATGCATTGTTCTCAATGGTTGCGTTTTAATACAGTTAGTGTTTACTGCTTCATCAAAGACATTCTTCAATAGAACAGGCTTTTTTTTTTTAAGTGTCTGGCAGTGAAAGACCATGGTACATTTTGGTGCCACTGCCTTGATTTGTGTCCAGGCAGCAGTTTCACCTCAGAGTGTTTTCAACATCATTGTAATGTCCACATAGTAACAGATGCAAATAATGTCCTGTCATTTTATGAAGACAGCTTGCTCTTTAAGACCCTGAGGAAGAGCTGGGGTCTACAGCTTACACTTAGATTTTGAGAACCACAAATCTAGGGAACTTTTATCTGTTTTTCAGATCTTAGCTTTTCAGTTGTTTCCCAAGTTGGTTTTCTCTTCCTTCTTAGTAGTAGAATGCTCAATTATTTTTCTTAGCGTGTGTGATAAGTGCTATGTGTATGTTCTTGTTTATGAATACAGGGGCGTGTGTGTCATTGCACATGTATAGAGGTCAGAGGACAACCTTGCCACGTTGGCCGGCACCCTCCTCCTTGTTTGAGAAAGGGTCACTGGTTCGCTGCTTCATGTGCCAGGGCAGCTGACCCTGGAGATTCCTGGGATTCTTCTGTCTCAGACTTCCATCTCACCATAGCAGTGCTGGAATTACAGACATGCGCTATTGTATCCAGCTGGCTTTTTGTGGAATCTGGGCACCCAAACTCAT